TTTTTATTATAATCTATTAAAATTTCAAGTATTTTACGGTTGGGAATAAAACTTTCGAGAAAAATACTCCTCCTGAACTAAAGTGGCCGCAGGGCGATTTCCCCAAAACTGCACAGGATGAGCGTCTCTTAGATACATGTACATATATTACACTTTTCTACATATGTCTATACATACACTGTATTTACACAGTGATTATAAACCAGGCCCTTGCAGAAAGCAGACAGCATGAGGAACAGTTAAAAGTTGAAAGAGAAGGTTTCAAAGCAAGGACGGGATTGGGGGTGGGGGGTGTAAACGAGGGAGAAGCAGCGAGCAAACATGCAAAACGCAGATGCATTCCCATCCACATTCTCCCTCCACTGCATACAAAATAAAATAAGAACAGAACAAGCTAAGGGGTTAGCTTTAAACCTGCACAATAAAATCCCTCTTAAAAAAAAAAAATCTTAGCTTTTAATCAAGATCCAAAGAGCCTTGATAATAAGGTCAGAGCATAAAAAAAAATAAAAAGTGCTCCGGTTCTTCAGAACGCAGACGGATCAGGATGCTAAAAACACGACATGTGACGAGTTAAACTCCCTCCTGCTCCCAGTCCCACGACAACACGTCGTTTTTTGTTTTGGAAAACAAGCACACAAACGAAAACACAAACACGTAGAAAGCCTACACTAAAGTTCTACACTTTGGTGCTTCATGTTTTTGATAAAGTTTCTCTCGTCGTCAAGTTCTTTGAGTAAACTTGATCATTCCACCCCCACCCCCCCTTCTTTAATTCACTGGAGAAAACGTTTCCCTTCACCTCAACATCCAGGTAGTGAGCACGACACTTTCAAGATGGCAATCCCTAAACGTGGACAAAAATCTCAGCTGCTAACTTCCCGCTCGTCTCGGCGCCGCCCTTATTAAATAACGATAAATGCTTGATTGGGTTTTGGTGGTCTCTGGAACATCTAGTCATAATTTACACAGTATATTCATAACTCATACTCATAAACTGTCACAAGTTCAACTGTATATCCTCTCCTCTCCCAGGGCGTCTCATCTCGCGCAGGCAGGGAAAAAAGATGGCTGCCAGGGGAGGAACAGAGGGCAAAGATGCGCCTCCAATCAGGCGCCAGATGCATGCATCATCTCATGTGGGGGCGGGTTCTTGTGTTCAGCCGGCCCCCAGCAGGTCAAAGGAGGGACAGGATTGGTTGGTAACGTGGAGAGGGGGTACGATCTCGCCCGGCCGGGCTCCTGGCACGAGCCAATCCACGCAGAGGACGTGCCTCTTAAAACACGCTCGCTGAAAAAACTGCCCCCCAAAACACACTCCAGCAGACTGGAGGCTCAGGACCACTGAGGGAAGAGAGGGAGGGGGGCACGTTCAAGTTGAGCTGAAATCGTCTCAGTCAAATCTAGGAATGATCTTGGTTCTGGAGTTTGTACCTGATCACTGGAGTGGCGCAGCAGGTGCTCCTGAGCAGTGGAAGTGAACGTTCAGCCACTTCCCATCGCGGCGATGCCACACCCGAGTCTCCTCCGACTGGCTGGAGCGAGGGCGGCCTGTGGCGTCCACAAACTGCATGAGCCGTATGTAGGCGATGCACGCTGCGTCCTCCCCGATGAGGTGCACGTGGGGGTTGAGCAGGGTGGTGTGCACAGGCTTGTTGTTCTTGCTCAGCACTGGAGAGAGAATCAAACGCGTTTAGGTGTTGGAGACACGAGTCTTAAGGAGGTTTAATGTCAGGACGTTTGGTTCGAATTTACGACGGAGCTTTAGCGCTACGATAAAAAAATAATTTAAACCTTATAATGATGAGAATAAAGTCGTACGCGACTTTTTTGCTTTTGTTTTGCAGCTTTCGTTAACTTATTTGTTTTTTCCCACTAGTCGGATCCAAGACGCGACCTGTCAATCAATCCAGTAGGCGTGTCAGTAAATGACCAATCCGAAGCTAAACGAGTCATCATATTATCCGAACTCCGACACATAAAGCAGAGTTTACCATTTTAA